GTCAGAAATTCAGGAGGATCACGTCACGTTCTTCCTGGGTATTTCCGTGCTCATATTAGTGGCGCTCGGCTGTATGTGCACGTTAAGTCGACTCGCAAAACCGAGGTCAGTTTCGCACTGCAATTTCCTTTTTCTTTCAAAGGTTCTGACACTGAACGAGATCATTTTGCACAAAGTGGGACGCGTTCTCCTTTTTTTGCAAGAAAACAGGAGGAGGCTTCATTTCCTATGGGACGCTTCAATTTTCTGCGACAGCCTTAAAGCGAAAGCACAGAATGTAATTTAATCAAAATCGCTCCACTTCACGTCTGTCAGAGTTCTGATGAATAGAGTGGCCGCGCCTTGGGGAATACCACACCGTTTCAGTTCTAACCTGGAAATGCTTTCAGCTTTCCGTGGAACTATGAATGGAGACTAAGATGAATCAATAGACTGATGGATGCTAGTTATGTACCAAAACTGCTACGTGAACATTCAAAATTCATTCAAAACATTCTAGCAAATCGCGGGCGGTCAAAGTTGACAGGAAGGGTAGCGTCAGTAAAGAGGCGAGCTAATCTAACCGCATCGGCGTTTTTAGTTTTTCCTGAAACAGTACCTATAGGGTAAACAGATGGCCTGGTCACGAATATGACATTCATTTTTGAGACAGAGGCGATCTGGCGCCAGTTTGGTGCCGCAACTCACTTTTTTACTGCATTTCTTGCCAACTTTGACCGCTCACAACTTGCCTAGAAAGGTCGCGTAGCAGTTTTGGTCAACACATGTGTGAATAGTACTCAGTAACTCAATACTCTACCGATTTCCCTTGATCTCCATCCAAAGTTCGATGGGAAACAATCCCTGGTAATAGTTTGCAGAAGTGGCTAGCTGTGGACGGGTGACGGTATTTAGTTTGAAATCGTTATTTTTTGAGCTGTCCAGAAATGTCAGTATTCAGCGCAAGCAATTAAGTGGGGTCATCCCACAGGCAAGTTTGGGAAGTGCGAAGTGACCTACCGTACGCTACAGTTATCCGCTAATTACGCTACCGTACCCAGTTTCAAACTAAGTACACACACCCGCTGTGGACAGGTATTGGTAATCCGGAATTTCTGGCGATCCAAATAGAGATCATCGCAAAGTTCAAATCAGCAATCTTACTATGAGTAGAGCCTGGGGCGGTGTAGGATGCAATGTTACGGCCGTTGATCTTTCTTTCCCAGCCCTTTCACGCTTCCAGCATAAGTGTGAACTCTTTAACCGTGTCCCGAGAAACTGGCCTAACAAGGATGACACGCACCGCGGACCAAGTACACTTCTCAATTGTGCTGCATGTGTAGCGTAGAACACAAACAATGATCGACACTTGATGGTGGTAGTGTAGTGGCAGAAAACCGCGCCCCCCCCCGCCCCCCCCAGAAACCTTTTTTTTCTTCCTCCGGCCTTCAGTCTGCAGTGGAGTCGGTGGGTTGAATCTGCCAGATCCCCCACTGAGTCGCCCTTACTCCATCTGGGTTGGCTGTATTGGGTTCCTCCGGACCCCTTATTGAAGGTGAGCGGATAAAATAGTGGTTTGTATACATCGCCCGCATACAACTGATACTATACGCCTTGCTGTAGCTCGATTCCACTATCCTTTTCCTTTCAGATCATTCTAGAACATTGTCGCCATTATCTTTGTTCGCTTGTAATCTTTACGCCCCTCGCGCCCATCCTGTTGTCGATTGCGTTCCTTGATACCAACCAATGTAAAGCCATTCGGCAAAACTCATTCTTTTTTGGGTGCCCACGCATGCCACTTCCACCCGTTCAGAATCGCACTGCATTGAATGGTGACTTCGGACTACCACAAGGAAATGGCGTGGGGCAGCCGAGGCAGCAGTCAGCGCTTTACCATCCCAGAACAAAATTTGTCCCATCCGCTCTTGAACAGGATGAATTGCCTGCCTTAGAATCGGAGGGGTGCATGATTCAATTTGATCCCGGGATGTGCGCGTGGCAAGAGAGTATTTACCACTACAACGTCAGAATCATATCAGCCGTATTAATGCCAATATAGTGCATGTTTCCAGATTTTCGGTGAGCTACGGGAATATAGCGAGCTACGACTTCATGATGTGGATGCCAACAAAAGCTAATCGAAGGTTTGCTTCTACAATTTTCCTTCATTTTTAGGTAAATCAAATGCACCCTTTTTGTTGTAGATCGTCAGTTCTCGTCTATTTGCGCAGAATTTCCTGCCGAGGTCCGTCCGTGGCCAATCGAAATTCCAACATCAGCGTTGTGTCCTCAAATATTGGGTACATTATTTTTTCAAGTGAATTCCATATTTTTTGGATTCTTTGCTAATCAGTAATATTTAAGACTTCTGCCGTCATACCAAACGGCCACCTCCACTCCAACTCCTACGTCTGTGCTTTCATCGTTTCCACCTCCACCGTATGCAGAAACCCAGAGGCTTACCGACGAAACTGTCTGACGCGACTTCTACTTCTCTCATCTGTTGATTGTAATTATGATATCTTTTTTAGAAAATTCTGCTCACATTTTACTGCATGAAAGACACTAGGACAGGGTCAAGCATTGAGTCGCGGGAAATCTCCTAATATGACCTTCTTACTGTCTTACGCTCTCCTTCCCGACTACCCTAATTTCCGGTAGATAAGCCCGCGCGATATCACGTAAAAACACCTCCGCTGGTGCAGTGCACTTGCGTACATCTAGAGACAACCGTAACATGCCCATAGGGGTAATTCGATATGCTGATTACGAAAACGACATTCATTTTTAGCGGTGGCCATCTGGCGCCAGTTGGCGTCACCTTGTCACGACCCTTGTTTCACCAAAATCGGTGTAAACTTCTGTATAGGGGTTATTTGGTGCCCTGATTACGAATATGACATTCGTTTTTGGCATTAACGTTGTTCAACGCATATTTCTCGGTTGGAGAGCGCAGACGAGCAGAAAATAGGCGCCAAATAGCGCCAGCGCCGAGAATGTCATATTCGTAATCAGGACACCAAATAACCCTATACGGAAGTTTACACCAAATTTGGTGAAAACAGGTGTCGTGACAAGGTGACGCCAACTGGCGCCAGATGGCGCCACGCTAAAAATGAAAGTCATTTTCGTAATCAGGGCATCGAATTACCTCTATAGGCAAATTTACGGTAGTTTCTAAGGTGTACAAAATTACACTGCACGAGCGGAGGTGTTTTTACGTGATATCGGCGCGGGCTTATCTACCGGAAATAGTACGTAGTTGTCAACCA